CACTCGCCGATGTTGGCAGTGAACGGACAAAGTGTGACAGTGGTGACGTTGGCAGATGTCATAATCTTCTACAATCTCTATAAAAAATGTGAACTTATTTTCTCGCAAAAGCAACAATATAACTGAAATATTCCGTTTGGCATTAAAACGTCAAGTTAACGGGTTGTCCCATAAAATGCACAGCTACGTATACGAGGTATAAGTGTAGCAAGCAAATAGGCGCGTATGTATGTTACATTCAGAGATTGTCAGGAACTATGGTACGTGTACTATGTGCCCTGTCACATAATTTACATTGAAAGTATGTGTTGCTTGTCTGATGCAACACAGCATTAATTCTACCGTGTGGTGACGTAAGCAAAATATCAAGTTTTATTTTTTTGTTCCTTTGTTTAACGCCACACTGAGCAATATTCCAGCTTCATTGCGGCGGTCAGTAAACAATCGAGTCCAGACCAGACAATACAGTGATCAACAGTATAATCATTAATCAGCTATCTAAACAATTCGGATACGATGAGCGAGCCTGACCACCCGATCCCGTTTGTCGCCTATTACGTTTTGTTTTGTTTTGTTTGGTTTTGTTTGTTGTTTAATGCCGCACTCACTAAGATTCCAGCTACATTGCGGCGGCTATAAACAATCGAGTCTGGACCAGACAATCCAGTGATCAACAGCATGAGCATCAAGTGATGAAGTAATCATAGTGATACTTTCAATAGCAAATGGTTTCCAGTACTCTTATCATACAGTCTTTGGCATTGGATGGGCTTCCTCTTGTAATGAGAACATTTGTATAACCTTCTATGTAAAAATTGTATTTACTACATATATGTTTGTACCGAAGTGGCTCTCGGCCCAATCACATCAGTTTTAGTTGACTCAGTATAATTGGTCAATACTGCAGATTTTATGATGAAACGCGGAGACTACGGTTCGCGGGCAGAGCCTTTGACCTAGTTCCAACAAATATCAAACATCAACGCCAAGCAAAAACAACGCCCGATTATCCGAAACAGATTCCATTTGGGCGTAAAAAGGCAAATGTATGGAATTGTATGAAATACAACACTGATAGCCACTAGACAATAATCGCGCAGGCCTTGCTGGAGCCCCCGCTACTCACATTATTTGCACAAAAAGTACTTGTATATGTCGCACCACAATACACGTTTGCTATAGTAACGTTTAATACTGTTTTGTGCCCTTTAGTTGTCTCTGTTGCCCTTTAGTTCTTTGTACTGAAACATACGAGGATAGATAAGACGCTGACTGTCCTAATCAGGATGGATGTGATTCGTGCCAAACATCTGACCCTGTATGAAACAGTGCATTTCCACGTGTGCCCTATTGTTTGATATACTGTAAGTTGGAACTTAAGCCTCGATTTACTGACGCTGGCATTGGTAATATAGACACTGGTTGTAAGTCGTCTAGTCGTGCCCCGGAGCACCATGGAGAGACTTTGGTACCGTTTTCAATAACATGGAATATCAGCTGATCAGCTCTGTTCTCGTAGACCACGTGTCATGCACGAATCCTTGTACTTCTTAGCGAATTTCGAACTTCTTAGCGAGTGAAGACCAACGCTTAAAGTCTGTTTGCAGTGAAAACGTTCCGATGAATTTCACCTTAAACATAAAAGTAAATCAAATAAAGTGAAATTAAGACTGCGAATCTTCAAAACTTTACCTTGCCAACTGCACATTAAAATATCAGAACTTTATTCAACTTAGGAGACAAGTTGTTTAACAAACGAGCATAGTTTCAAGTCGCCATTATTGGTTTGTATTACAGGGGGGTATGCACATTAAATGAACCCCGAGAACAAGAACGGTTGGTTTCTACGATAGTCTAAGTTAACGCTCATCACGCACCGCACGTGCATTTGTTTCACTGTTTTAACTACTGCGCGTACCCCCTTGTAATACAAACCAATAATATCGATTTGAAACTATGATCGTTGGTTAAACAACTTTTATCCTAAGTTGAATAAAATTCTGAGATTTAATCTGTTCATTTGGCATGGTAAAACTATGAGGATTCGCCACCTTAATGCCACCTTATTTGATTTACTTTTTCTGTTTAAAGTGAAATTTATCGGTACGTTTTCACTGCAAACAGACTATAGCTACTGAATAGGCAGCCAAAGATAATAGTCAGGACAGACCTTGGATTCATACCTGTTATAAATACTAAGGCGAAAGAAGCACAGTTTCACACAGAGTTGACGAATAACATCAAAAAAAGCTTCGAAAGACTACATTCATAATACTGTTTCCTCAATTAAAATACTTTATGAGGCAAAAGGCGTACCTTAATAACAATATCACAAACAGCAACCCATTTTCAATAATTCGAATACTAATAGCACCAAACACTTTCCCCAGTCGCATTAAGTAGACCCACAAAACCGTTCCCTTGATCAGGATGATAAAAAAGACACAACATTGTCCTTATTCATGGTGATCAAAAACAACATTTAAACAACAAAACATTGCCCTTAATCATGATGATGAAATGTTGTTAAACGCCAAAACATTGTCCACAATGATGATGATTGAAACGACCAAACATTGCCCTTAATCGGGATGATTAAAATGGCAAAACATTGTCCTTAATCATGATGATCAAAAACAACATTTAAACAACAAAACATTGCCCTTAATCATGATGATGAAATGTTGTTAAACGCCAAAACATTGTCCACAATGATGATGATTGAAACGACCAAACATTGCCCTTAATCGGGATGATTAAAATGGCAAAACATTGCCATTAATCATGATGATTAAAACGACAAAAACATTGCCTTTAATCATGATGATTAAAATATCAAAACATTGTCCTTAATCATGATGATCAAAAACAACATTTAAACAACAAAACATTGCCCTTAATCATGATGATGAAATGTTGTTAAACGCCAAAACATTGTCCACAATGATGATGATTGAAACGACCAAACATTGCCCTTAATCGGGATGATTAAAATGGCAAAACATTGCCATTAATCATGATGATTAAAACGACAAAAACATTGCCTTTCATCATGATGATTAAAATATCAAAACATTGTCCTTAATCATGATGATCAAAAACAACATTTAAACAACAAAACATTGCTTAATGAAGAAACAAAACATTGCCCTTAATCATGATGATCAAAACGACAAAACATTGTCCTTAATCATGATGATAGATCTGTGTTGAAAGAAGAATTCACTTTCCGTTTCCTACTAGGTCATAAGCATGTGTACATGAAACACTGTCAAACAGTAATGACACCAGGTGTTGGCGAAAGGTGAGGTACTCTGCCTCACCTGCAGCACCAACCACAAAAATGTAAAGGTAAGTCAATTGCTTACCTGATAAAAAAACATAACACAGTGACTATAACAGATAGTAAAAGTCAAACTGCCACCAGTTAGGTTTCTATCAAAAAACGTTACGAAAATGCTACAAATAATTCGGATGTTATAACCCTGATTAAACAAACTTTACGCGAAAGTCGTAAATAGAAGCGACAAAACCCTTTCCACATTCATAAAAAATCTCTGCCAAATCTGAGTCGATTGTACAATTGAGACCATATCACGAGAAGATATTTGTTTGAGCAGTATTACAGCTGAAAAGCGTCATGAAAAATATATGATGACAAATTTATATTTTGACAGAATCTCTGCCTAGTTGAGCTACTGGTATATTAAACACGTAACGCTGTTTCGGCACTGCCTTCCGTGTGGTAATAGGTAGACATTCTTGTAACTTTCCAAAGACACAAACACTCTTTTGTATTTACATTAGTGATGACTGCGTGTGAAACCACGCCGTCGGGTTCTGTTCATACAAACCGTAGCAGTTAATTTGAGTATGTCCATAAAAAGCTATTGGGGGATCAGCTGGCTAAACAGAGGTACGTACCTTCCCAAACCACACAATAACACAAGGCCTGAGTTAATACACAGGAGTTTAGTAGTCAGACACAGAGTCCGTTAATGTTTACTTTCAATTATAGAATGCTTACGATCTATATTATATCTATAACAAGGCCACATATTCAGACACGGGGTGTTCAAATAGTCATATTTACTTACACGAATTGGCAAAAGTAAAATAAACAAGTTGAATATTTATTATGTATTTATCTTAATTATACCAAGTCGAACCTGGTTACTGAGATATTAGGTAACACAAAGGCTAGCTATGGCATAGGTGGGGGTGGTGAAGGGCGACTTGGACCAGAAGTAGGATCTGTTTCCGAGCATAGCTTTTGTATATTTCCAAATTCAGATTATCTCCCCTTAACATGACGTCAGTGGACTCTATCATACATTTATATGACATGGTATAAATAATCATTTTTTCTGTAGTATATAAACAATGCTGATTGATTTGAATTCATAAAAGCGGCAATTACTTATTGGCAGCTGTCACGCTGATAGGTGTGGCCTGTGTCACAACAAATCCAATGGTCGGGGCCACAGTCCGTTATCGTGGAGAAGCTCCTATACTAGACTAAGGCTTAGTCTCTGAATATATATAATTTTGATAGTAACAAACAAGCCCATTTATATTGAAAAGGAGCCCTAGGGAGACCAGAGATTCAGAACCTGAACCTGAGGAAATCTAGACTTGCTTTATCTAGGGCTTTAGCACTGCCGAGAGGGCTTGGCAGTAAGGAAATTAATGTGGTTCAGGGACTGTGAGACAGACTACTCCTATACAAGCACCACTGTCAGTGAAGTCAGCAGAGAGGCACGGGAGGGCGCTGAACACTGAGGGTATGTTTACACCGAGACACGACCTGTCTGAGACATGGTTGCGACCGCACTGGTCGCGTACCTTTTTGGCGACCGATCGCCCATTTGCGTATATACCGAACAGGGTGTGCGATTTGACTACGACCAAAAACTTTATAGTCAATCTCATTTTAATCGCGACTTGACTGAGACTGGTGCGATCCGTCTTATGTATCGCGACTAGGTCGCAATTCGGTCATGGCCCGTGGTGTGACTTTTGGCGAGCTTCTGCCCAACGGCGCCGACTACGTCGAGACCACAGCCACATCTGCCATCGACTTGCAACTTGAGTACGAGTAGAAAGATCGTTCTCCCGACTAGTTGCGATCTTTGGGACTCCATGCGAGTTTATTGCGACGATGAGGACGAGACCTATGCGACTTCTCCAAGACGCCAATTGAGAGTTTTAGCGAGTGCGCTGCCAAAATCGTATAAAAGGGACCGTTACCGCCTGCAATCTCGTCATTCGTTGCCCGATAAGCACTGGATTGGAAACACTGAGAAAAAGGTGGATATTGACTCTGGGGATATCGTCTTGGCTCTTGTCCTGCAGACTGAAGCCGAAGCACATTGGAATGATGTTATTAACTACACCTTGTCAATGATCAGACAAAGTGAAAGAAGAAGAAGAAGGCGACGCCGCCAGATGTGGGTCCAGAACTGGCTGACCACTATGGCGAGACAGGAACACTGTCAGTACTACCACCTTGTACAGAGGTTGAAGCAGGACAATCCAAATCAGTTCAAGAAGTACAGGAGGATGCCTGTGGAGCTCTTTGATGAAAGTTTGTAGAGAATATGGTCCAACATCACAGGAAAGGGCATCAATTACAGACCCTCTTTGGACGCACATTAAGACACCTAACCTCTGGTGCCAGTATCCAAACAAGGCTTAAAGCTATAGGGTGAGCAAGTCATCAATACAAGTTTGCCGGGCAATCGTGGATGCCTACAGAGACGAGGTATTCAAGACTCCTACTACGGAAGAATGGAAGGAAATAGTCAGACAATTCGAACTTAGATGACAAGTGCCTCATGCCATAGGGGCCCTGGATGGAAAGAACATCAAAATCCGTGCACCTGCTCTGAGTGGAAGTGACTACTGGTGTGACGACAAAAGCTGCTACGCCATCGTTCTCCTGGCGCTTGTGGACTACAACTACAAGTTCTTGTGGGTGGATACTGGAGGGCTTGGACACCAATCAGACGCCCACATATTTAGTGCATTTCATCTGAAAGACCGCTTGGAGACTGGTACACTTGGTCTACCCCCTCCTGAAACTATTGAACAAGCTGCTGCTGGCGCAGGTGGTCAACAAAGGAGGTGAGGTGAGGTGAAATTGGGTTTTACGTCGTACTTGAGAATATTTCGCTCATATGACGACGTGCATGGGTGTGTATGTGTATGTGCGGCTGCTTGTACTAGCCCAGACTGAAGCTGGTTTTTTATAGTGCTAGCCCACTGAGATACCATGCCGCAGCCGCAGTGAAGCATGAATACCCCACTCAGACACATTATACTGACTCCGAGACGACCAGTCCTTGTTGTACCCTTTAATGCCGAGCGCCAGGCAGGGACCAACAAGAACCATATTTTAACGTCTTTTGGTATGACGCGGTCGGGGATCGAACCCACGACCATCCGCTCTCCGGGCGGACGCTCTAACCACAGAGGCGGTCGGTCAACCAAGGAACCTGCCATACTTCATAATGGTCGATGATGCCTTTGCCTTAAGAACGTTTGTCATGAAGCCATGGTCTAAGAAGTACATGACCAAGGAGGAACTGAACTACCGTATTATGGCTAACAGATGGAGGCGTCTGATGACTGTGTTTTATCAAGCCCCTGAAGTTGCCCAGACCACAACAGAGTGCTATATAGTACTTCACAACCTCACGAGGTTGAAGTACCCAGCTACGCTACGAGCGCATTACGGGTAAGTGCGACTGACTTGCGAGCTACCAGTTTAATGAGACTTGTGTGATCATACTGCGACCGATTACTTGACCTCACTGCGGGTTGGACCCGTCGCCGAAGTTATGCGAGTGTGGAGAATCATCATCCACTGCACTCGCCAAACCTAACGCGACCGGCTATGATGGAGACCTCAATGAGACCCCACCGCTACCCCACTACGACTTCATGCGAGGGAGTACGATCGAGGGCTATTTTTCGGTCGTAGATCGGTCTGACACCCGGTGTAAACATGGTATGGCAAGGTCAAGGTCAGCAGACAAGACCAGCAGAGCAGACCAGAAGAGAGGTCTGAAGAAAATCGCTGGTTATATCTGGTCAACGCCTGGTAAACAGCCCTAGCCTCTCTCACAGTTTCGTCCACGCCCTTTTTGTGATCACTTTTTGTGATCACTTTTTGTGATCACTGTTAGCATGAGAATAATACCGTAGTAATTGAAAACATTGCTGAACACCTTTCATCGTTGTCATCGTGCTTCAATCTTGTTAAATTGTAACTTGCGGCCATGTAAGTTTTGGTGAAAACAAATTTGTTGCCCATGGGTCTCTGAATGTATAATTTTGATGATAGGAAATAGCTCTACTTCAATTTAAAGTGGCCCAGTTAGATAGGAGACTCGATGCTGGGGAAAATCTAGACTTGCTTCATTTTGGGGGTTGTCATCACTGAAAGTGGAATGGAACATGTTATGGTAGTCTGTCAGTCTAATGCTATGGCTTAGGAACTGTGAGACGGACAAACGACTGGCGTAAGAAATATATATAATGCACATGCTCACTGCTATGTTAGAAATGGTGTACATTTGTGTTGAATATGAGACGTCTAAGAGAACAATCATCAGATGTGCATTATGCGAATCGTGTTTAAAATTTTAAATCAAATTGTACATGCGTATGTTTTCTTTCTTCTGAATTTACATGCATAGGTTTGTTGGTGCCGACAAAGCGCCAATAGAGTTCATTTAACATATGAATAATGATATTTTAATATATGCTAACATATCGCTAACGTGAGATATTGCATACCGGTATATCAAATATACTACCCATCAAAAGTTTAGACTCACTAGTGTAAATGTAGCCACTTACTTGTCCACTGTTCTAAACTAGCTTTTTGCAAAATATTCCATACTGTTTAAAGGTACTGTTTAGTTATGAACTGGTGTATTGTAAAACATATTCGTAACATTGAAAAGATTATTGTCATGAGTTCAGTAAATGATTAAAATCTGTGAAAATTGGCGAATTCTTAACAAAACTTTACACCAAAACGAATCTGTTCACATGCACGACATTTGCTCATGCCTTTCGCAATTTGAAGCATCATCCTTGTGCAATTCATCTGCATAAGGTTTTCAGTTGGTTCCCCCAAGTTGGTGGAGAAATTCATCTTCGATGTAACCACATACATATACATAACATATAGTGAGTGCTTTAAGTGAGTCTAAACTTTTGATGGGTAGTATATATGATGAAATATGGTGGGGTGTGGGGTGGTTGTTTTCATGACTTTCTGTTGCTTCTCACACAGTGACACACTACTTATGCGAGTGCATAAACATGCCTATATTTGTCAGCCACAGAGCGATGTGTCTGTTATTTTTATTTACAAGTTAAAATGTATGATCACTGCAAAGAGGTTTCTTGTTATCTTCAGTCACACTTGCTAGGCTTATCATAAACTCTTGGCCCTTGCACATTTGCGCGCAGCTCAGAGAGGGCATGTGGCCAACCGTGCTGCACCCACGACAAATTTTTCGGTGAATATGTAGACTCCACGACATTCATTCTTCTGCGTTACCCAGAGGCTGTGTCCATGGCAACAAACCCGGGTACTCTCCCAGCTTCAGTCGAACCGAGAGGCACCAACCCGGTATTTGGGAAGCATGCGTTACATTTCGTAATAAACCGAATATTGATTGATCTGAGAGTACAACACCGACTGAGCCGTCTAACCCGAATAAACCGATTGAATCGTCTAAACAGGCTAAATCGTCTATACTGACTGAACCACCTGAACCGCCTAAACCGACTAAACTGAATGACCGACAAACCCGTCTAAACAGACTAAACCGGCTGAATCGTCTAAACCGAATGAACAATCTAAACCGTCTAAATCGACTGACCTGTGTAGACCGACTAAACCGAATGAACCGTCTAAACCATACCGGATGTACATTTTACAAGATATAACCAATCTCCTTCAAACAAAATGCTTCTTGTGTCCTTTGCACTAAAAGCCGTCAGCTCAATACGAAAACTGGCACACTATGTCGGAATTGCTTTGTGAATCAAGCTGAATTAACTTGTCTCACAAGCAAAATTTGCTCAACACAAATTTCTCCAAGTGATTTATGAACTATCCGTGGATGTGGGCCACTGAGTCGAGGTTTCGTGAAAACTGTGGTTCAAATTTAAGTGAAGTAAATGGTTTCAATCAAAATTATATACAGTAATCTATTGTAACGAACATGCTTATGACGAACTGACGGATATAACGAATATTTTATGTTTGTGGGGTCTGGTCTGTTTATTTAGCTGAAATCCGTATAACGAAATCCGGTTACAAAGAACGAAAAGTCCCTTTGGGTCCGTTATAATGGTGGTTTACTGCACTGTAACGAAATATCTGATGTAACGAACTGACGGATGTAACGAACTGACTGGTATAACGAAGTGACGGATGTAACCAACTGACGGATGTAACAAACTGACGGATGTAACGAACTGACTGGTGTTACGAACTGACGGATGTAACGAACTGACTGGTGTAACGAACTGACTGATGTAACGAACTGACGGATGTAACGAACTGTAACGAACTGACTGATGTAACGAACTGACGTGATGCAACAAACTGACGGATGTAACGAACTGACGGATGTAACGAACTGACGGATGTAACGAACTGACAGATGTAACGAACTGACGGATGTAACATTTTTTTGCTCCATGTCACTGGCTGTATAATTTAGTCGAAATACGTCTAATGAACAACGGTTATAACGAATTAAGATTAGCGGTGCCTCAGAGTTCTTTATAACCGAAGTTTGTTGTATGTCTGTAATTCAGTTGACTCCTGAGACAGGATGCACGTCACGTGAACCATGATTTTTTACAGTACTTGTTAAAACAAGCTGAATTCACTTCTTTGGAAATTTAGTCAGACAAGCAAGGCGTGCTCTACACATACTTGTCCAAGTGATTTATGAACTTCTATCCCTTGATGTAAGTCACTGGGTCAAGGTTTCGTTACGTCAGTGATTTGAATTTAAGTCACATGAGTTGTTTTAATCAAAATGAAAGACAGTAAACCACTTTTATAACGAACTTACGGATATAACAATCATTTTGTTTTTAGGTGGTTGGTCTGGGCTGTTCATTTAAGTTGAAATGCGCTTGAGTAGTCCCAAACACAAAGTTCGTCATAACTGTCGTTTTCTGTATGTGTAAACTATGCTTATGGCTAATTGACGGATTTATGGATCCCGGTTACTTGCTTAATAATTTAGTTGAAATGCGTATAACGAACTAGGGATATAATGAATTAAAACTAGCGATACCTTAAAGTTCGTTATAAGCGTAGTTGGCTGTAAGTTTATAATTCATATGACGCTGGGGACAGGATGCACCATATTCCTCACACACACAACCAATATATCTCCCCACCTTCCTATCACCACACATCTGCCACACATCACCAATACATGTCCCAACGTTTTCATCAACATACTCCTCACAAAATACCAGTATATCTCCCCACTTTCATATCAACATATCCTTCAATACCACCAGTACATATCACCCTTTCATATCAATATATCCCCCTAACACTACCAGTACAACTCCCCACTTTCATATCAACATATCCCTCAAACACTACCAGTACATCTCCCCACTTTCATATCAACATATCCCTCAAACACCACCAGTACAACTCCCCACTTTCATATCAACATATCACTCAAACACCACCAGTACAACTCCCCACTTTCATATCAACATATCCCTCAAACACCACCAGTACAACTCCCCCACTTTCATATCAACATATCCCTCAAACATACCACCAGTACATCTCCCCACTTTCATATCAACATATCCCTCAAACACCACCAGTACATCTTCCCACTTTCATATCAACATATCCCTCAAACACCACCAGTACATTCCCCCTTTTTCATATCAACATATCCCTCACATACCAGTACACTTTCTTCCCCACTTTCATATCAACATATCCCTCAAACACTACCAGTACATCTCCCCCACTTTCATATCAACATATCCAAACTAACATACACTACCAGTACATCTCCCCCTTACCTTCATTTCATATCAACATATCCCTCAAACACCACCAGTACATCTCCCCACTTTCATATCAACATATCACTCAAACACCACCAGTACATCTCCCCACTTTCATATCAACATATCCCTCAAACACCACCAGTACATCTCCCACTTTCATATCAACATATCCCTCAAACACCACCAGTACATCTCCCCCACTTTCATATCAACATATCCCTTTCCCATCAAACACCACTTTGTACAACTCCCCACTTTCATATAAACATATCCCTCAAACACCTACAGTACATCTCCCCACTTTCATATCAACATATCCCTCAAACACCACCAGTACATCTCCCCACTTTCATATCAACATATCCCTCAAACACCACCAGTACATCTCCCCACTTTCATATCAACATATCCCTCAAACACCACCAGTACATCTCCCCACTTTCATATCAACATATCCCTCACATACCACCAGTACATCTCCCCACTTTCATATCAACATATCCCTCAAACACCACCAGTACATCTCCCCACTTTCATATCAATATATCCCCAAACACTACCAGTACATCTCCCCCACTTTCATATCAACATATCCCCAAACACCACCAGTACATCTCTCCCCACTTTTCATATCAACATATCCCCCAAACACCACCAGTACATCTCCCCACTTTCATATCAATATATCCCCAACACACCACCGGTACATCCCCAAACCACTCCCACTTTCATATCAACATATCCCCCAAACACCACCAGTACATCTCCCCACTTTCATATCAACATATCCCTCAAACACCACCAGTACATCTCCCCCACTTTCATATCAACATATCCCTCAAACACCACCAGTACATCTCCCCACTTTCATATCAACATATCCCTCAAACACCACTTCAGTACATCTCCCCCACTTTCATATCAACATATCCCTCACATACCACCAGTACAGTACATCTCCCCACTTTCTATATCAACATATCCCTCAAACACTCAGTACATCTCCCCACTTTCTATATCAACATATCCCTCACACACCACCAGTACATCTCCCCACTTTCATATCAACATATCCTTCAAACACCACCAGTACATCTCCCCCACTTTCTTTCATATCAACATATCCCCAAACACCACCAGTACATCTCCCCACTTTCATATCAACATATCCCTCAAACACCACCAGTACATTCTCCCCACTTTCATATCAATATATCCCCACACACCACCAGTACATCTCCCCACTTTCATATCAATATATCCCCAAACACTACCAGTACATCTCCCCACTTTCATATCAACATATATCCTTCCTAAACACAAACACTACCAGTACATCTCTCCCCACTTTCATATCAACATATCCCCCAAACACCACCAGTACATCTTCCCACATTTCTCATATCAATATATCCCCACACACCACCTCAGTACATTTCCCTCACTTTCATATCAACATATCCCTTCCAAACACCACCAGTACATCTCCCCCACTTTCATATCAACATATATCCCTCAAACACCACCAGTACATCTCCCCACTTTCATATCAACATATCCCTCACAAACACCACCAGTACATCTCCCCACTTTCATGTCAATATATCCCTCCAAACACTGCCAGTACATCTCCCCACTTTTATATCAATATATATCCCTAACACACCACCAGTACATCCCCTACTTTCATATCAATATATCCCCACATACCACCAGTACATCTCCCCACTTTCATAACAATATATACCCCAAATACTACCAGTACATCTCCCCACTTTCATATCAACATATCCCCCAAACACCACCAGTACATATTCCCACTTTCATATTAATATATCCCCCACATACCACCGGTACATTTCCTCACTTTCATATCAACATATCCCCCACATACCACCAGTACATCTCCCCACTTTCATATCAACATATCACTCAAACACCACCAGTACATCTTCCCGCTTTCATATCAACATATCCCTCAAACACCACCAGTACATCCCCCCACTTTCATATCAACATCTCCCTCACATACCACCGATACATCTCCTCACTTTCATATCAACATATCCCTCAAACACCTACAGTACATATCCCCACTTTCATATCAACATATCCCTCACATACCACCGCAGTACATCTCCCCACTTTCATATCAACATATCCTTCAAACACCACCAGTACATTTTCCCACTTTCATATCAACATATCCCTCAAACACCACCAGTACATCCCCCCACTTTCATATCAACATATCCCTCACATACCACCAGTAAATTTCCCCATTTCCATATCAATATATCCCCCACACATCACCCGTACATTTCCCCACTTTCATAACAATATATACCCCAAACACTACCAGTACATCTCCCCACTTTCATATCAACGTATCCCCCAAACACTACCAGTACATCTCCCCACTTTCATATCAACATATCCCCCAAACACCACCAGTACATATTCCCACTTTCATATTAATATATCCCCCACATACCACCGGTACATTTCCTCACTTTCATATCAACATATCCCCCACATACCACCAGTACATCTCCCTACTTTCGTATCAACATGTCCCTTACACACCAATAGTACATCTCCCCTCTTTCATATCAAAATATCCCCCAAACACCACCAGTACATCTTCCCACTTTCATATCAACATATCCCCCAAACACCACCAGTACATATACCCACTTTCATATTAATATATCCCCCACATACCACCGGTACATTTCTCCATTTTCATATCAACATATCCCCCAAACACCACCAGTACATCTGATATTCTCATCTTCCCATCTACTGACCGCTCTCCCATTCTACCAGTTGATATTCTCATCTTCCCATCTACTGACCGCTCTCCCATTCTACCAGTTGATATTCCCATCTACTCTCTTCCCATTCTACCGGTCTATCAACTGACTGCTCTCCCATTCTACCAGTTGATATTCTCATCTTCCGGTCTATCAACCGCTCTCCCATTCCCTACCAGTTGATATTCTCATTTTCCCATCTATCTGACCGCTCTCCCATTCTACCAGTTGATATTCACATCTTCCCATCTACCAGTTGATATTCTCATCTTCCCATCTACTGATCTCCCATTCTACCAGTTGATATTCACATCATTCCCAGTTGATATTCTCATCTTCCCATCTACTGACCGCCTCTCCCATTCTACCAGTTGATATTCTCATGTTCCCATCTACTGACCATCTCTCCCATTCTACCAGTTGATATTCAGTTGATATTCACATCTTCCCAGCTACTGACCGCTCTCCCATTCTACCAGTTGATATTCTCATCTTCCCATCTACTGACCGCTCTCCCATTCTACCAGTTGATATTCTCATCTTCCCATCTACTGACCGCTCTCCCATTCTACCAGTTGATATTCTCATCTTCCCATCTACTGACCGCTCTCCCATTCTACCAGTTGATATTCTCATCTTCCCATCTACTGACCGCTCTCCCATTCTACCAGTTGATATTCTCATCTTCCCATCTACTGACCGCTCTCCCATTCTCCCACCAGTTGATATCATTCCCTCTACTCTTCCCATTCTACCAGTTGACCATCTTCTCATGTACTGACCGCTCTCCCATTCTACCAGTTGATATTCCCATCTTCCCATCTACTAACCGCTCCCCCATTCTACCAGTTGATATTCTCATCTTCCCATCTACTGACCAATTTGCCAATACACCAGTTACTGTTCTCCTTTCCTTTCTGCAGACAACTTTAAAGACCAGCTTTAATTGGGTCGATGCATCTCGTTTCAGATCCTTCAAGTCCAACATAAATTATGAAGAGATGGCCATTAACACCCTAGAGGGGATATGGAACTGTTCCTTTGAAAATGTAGACCTCGACACCCTCACGCAATTCCACATGCAGGAAAGCAATACAACAAAGGAACATCATAAGTGTATTAAAAAGAATCCTGGTGTGAACGGAATCGTAACATGCTTACCTCATCTCAAAGAACTATGTCAATCGAAGCGTATTAATTCACAGAAAGTAGTCCGTTTGCCTTTGAGACTCGTTTCTCCACTAATGAAGAAATACCCGGATTTGAAAATACTACACCTTGTTCGGGATCCAAGAGCATCCATCATATCACAATATGTAAAGTTAAAATATTTCCCATGGAACCAGTTACAAAAATATACAGAAACATTTTGTGCAAGAGTCCACGAGGATTTACAAACCACAGCCAAGATAGCTCGGGATTACCCAGGACGGATAAAGCTAGTGCGATACGAAACTATGGCGGAACATCCGTTAGAAATAACTGACGAGTTGTATCAGTTTGTGGACGCGAAAATCACGAAGGAGCTGCATAAATATGTCTACGACAGGACGTTGTCCGGCAAGAAAGACACAAATTGTGTGACCTGTTTGGTCAAGTCAAATGCGTCCGTCGCGGCTAATAAATGGAGAACAAGTATAGGACTTCGGGCTGCACAGGCTATAGATGCCAAATGTGGAAAAGTCTATACTCTTCTAGGTTATAAACCAGTGAAGACAGTTCTTGATCTGAAAAATCTCACAGGTTCTTTAAAAATAAGTGATATAAAATTCGCTGGAATGACAGTCTGAGCTGTGTGAAACTGACTTTATGAAATATTTATTTATTTATGCATTTCTACATATTTTTATTTACACATGGGCAGTAATAATTTCACAATTCAAATCAACCTGTCTGCACGTTCTATGATATCATTTAACTGAATATTATATATTCAGTGTTGTTAAATATTCTGTATTAAATGAACATTTTAGAATCTCTCAAGCCTACTTTTCAAGAGTATTCATTTGTATGTGTGTTAAAGATTCAATCTGTATGGCCATCAGAGGTGAAATGGGGTTTCAAGATTTCGTCGCGTTCAGCATTATTGGGCTAAGGTAGATGCAAGTATTAGTTTATATCACTGTCCCATGAACCACTATAGTTTACCTCCCACTAAGGACCGCCTCCCTGGTGTAGTGGTTAGAGCGTCCGCCCGGAGAGCGGAAGGTCGCGGGTTCGATCCCCGACCGCGTCATACCAAAAGACGTTAAAATATGGTACTTGTTGGTCCCTGCCTGGCGCTCGGCATTAAAGGGTACAACAAGGACTGGTCGTCTCGGAGTCAGTATAATGTGTCTGAGTGGGGTATTCCTGCTTCACTGCGGCATGGTATCTCAGTGGGCTAGCACTATAAAACCAGCTTCAGTCTGGGCTAGTACAAGCAGCCGCACATACACATTCACACGCATGCACGTCGTCATATGAGCGAAATATTCTCAAGCACGACGTAAAACCCAATTCCACCACCACCACCTCCCACTAAGCTATAACTGTACTGCAAAGGTCCTTAATGAGGCAAGTCTAGGTTTACCTTAGGGACTGAATCTCATACCTCACTGGGGCTCATTTCAATTTAAATACGGTTCTTTTTTCATATCAAAATATATTTTTTCAGAAACTAATATAACTGGTAGTCTAATGGCGTGTGTCTGGTTGTAGAGGTCTGAAGTTATAGTCTGTGCAGCTCAGCCACCATGCACCATGAACGTGATACACTGCGCAGTGGACGTATTCAGGACTGATCAGTTCTCGTTTGAGCCCAAAGGCAGGGTAATATAAAGCATCGTAGTTTAAGATCTTCGAGGGTCGAACCTCAAGTCCGTTGTTCTATGCGTTAGGCAACGGATCGGAGGCAGTCGAATGTGGCGGACCCGTGGTCCAAAGATCTCGGTATGAGACTACGAGGGCGGTCTAATATGTAGGGAACATATAGGGATACCGTAATCCCTCTAATAAGCGCCGGTTCTCTAATAAGCGCCTGGGGTAAAGCAGCGGTTGAAGAAATATGCGCCAGGCCTCTAATAAGCGCAGTGTCTCTAATAAGCGCCGGGTACGGGTTGTTCTTTTTAAAAATGAATTCTCCCTTGATCCAAAAATAGATTTATTAAGCAATGGTCCCTTATTAACATTGACGTAACGCTCACTAAGAAGTAATTACCCCACTAAGTGCAATAACCGCCGTGTCGCCTCTAATAAGCCTCTAATAAGCGCCGGGCCTGGAAGTCCGTTGAAAAAATAAGGGCTCGTATTAGAGGAAATACGGTATCTACTCATCCGTCAACATAATGGCAGTGCTGTAGATCACTGGAATGTCTGTTCCAGACTCGATTATTAAAAGACCGCCGCCATATAGCTGGAATATTGCTAAGAGCGTCGTTAAACAGCCAACCAACCAACACTATGGCAATAATAGTTGTCTATATCAATATCATATCAATATCAATATCAATAGTAGGGTTTATTCTTTGTTGCTTTTAGTATCAATACCAACACAATCATCGCCAACATCTTTTGGGCTTGTAGTCATTACGTTCACCAATCCCCAGAGAATGTGAAATTACTTGGGTATCATACGTAAAACTATTTGTAACCACGATCCATGGTGACGTAAAATACTCACACCTCTCGGATACATACACCATTGTGATACTATTAACTGCATCAGATCTCTCGATAATAAACACTCGCCAAAAAACCATTACCTGCAGCAGATCACTCCATAAAATGAACACGCCAAAGGGTGAAACAATCAACTGCATCAGATTCCTCGATGACATAAACACGCCAAAGGGTGAAACTGTGACATAAACACGCCAAAGGGTGAAACAATCAACTGCATCAGATTCCTCGATGACATAGACACGCCAAAGGGTGAAACTGTCAACTGCATCAGATCTCTTGATAAAAAATCATTCTACAGGGGAAAACTATAAAATGCATCAGATCACTCCATAAAAGGAACAAGCCAGAAGGTGAACTATCAACTACGAGGGGCATTCAGATAGTAGTCAGCGTAACTATATTCTCGATGTCCAATGTTTGAAAAGCTTCCATTCTATTTTGAAGGAATCATTAGCATGATTAACAACCGATTGTAGTTTCAAATTTCTTTTTATGTACCCTAATATCCAAGTTTGATTTTAGAGGATTTTGCCTGTCTCAAATGCACAATTGTTTCTTGCATATTGTGTTTCCCGAAGTTTCTGATGAATTTACTGCAGATTTTGCGTTTTTATGGGGTACCAAGATATGAAGTCAAACAAAATGGGGATCGTGAGGCTGGAACACAGAAAACCAATTTGCTTCAGGTTGACAGATAATAAGTAGAAAATAGAGAAAAAATACAGCTGCATTTGTATCATTTTCTAGGTTAGGCAGACTACTTTTTGAACACCCCTCGTACATCATACCTCTCCATATTATAAACACGACAACGGGTGAAACCATCAATTGCATCAGATCTCTGGATAAGATAAACACACCAAAGGGTGAAACTATTAACTGCATCAGACCTCACAATAATAAACACACGCAAAAGGGTGAAACTATTAACTGCATTTGATCTCTCGATGACATAAACACGCACCAAAGGGTGAAACTATTAACTGCATCAGACTTCACGATAATAAACACACGTTAAAGGGTGAAACTATTAACCGCATCAGCCCTCGCGATAATAAACACACGTAAAAGGGTGAAACTATTAACTGCATCAGACCTCGCGATAATACACACACACCAAAGGGTGAATCGCGAAACAATTAACTGCATCTGATCTCTCGGTAATAACACACATCAAAGGATCGACTGCATCAGATCTCTCCATAAAATGAATACGCCAAAGGGTGAAACTATCTACTGCATCAGATTCCTCGATGAGATCAACACGCCAAAAGGTGAAACTATCAATTGCATCAGATTCCTCGATGAGATAAACACGCCAAAAGGTGAAACTATCAATTGCATCAGATTCCTCGATGAGATAAATACGCCAAAAGGTGAAACTATCAACTGCATCAGATTCCTCGATGAGATAAAGATAAACACTATCTTACTGCATCAGATCCCGATGAGATAAATACACCAACAGGTGAAACTAGCAATTGCATCAGATTCCTCGATGAGATAAATACACCAAAGGTGACACTATCAACTGCATCAGATTTCGATGAGATTCGATGAGATAACTTCGATGAGATAAATACGCCAAAAGGTGAAACTATCAATTGCATCAGATTCCTCGATGAGATAAACACACCAAAAGGTGACACTATCTACAGCATCAGATTCCTCGATGCGAGTCAATAAAGACTGATTGACAAGCATGGGTTACTGAAGATCAATTCTAATCTGGATCTTCACAGGTCTCTGTATACTAAACACACAAAGGGTGATACTACTAACTGCATCATATCTCTAGATGAAATAAACACCACACAGGGTAAAAGTATCATCTGCATCAAATGGTGCTATCAACTGCATCAGTTCACTGAATGACATAAAACGGTAAAGAAGCAATAACTTTCAAGTCAGTTATTTATGTTTGTTCCTGCTCCGCATTTCTCATTTTCTAATTATACTATGAGTCTTTGCCAGGTCATTCGATGAGACAAACTTCTAAATTACCAAAGTATATCAACTGTATCAGTCCAGTAAAGTCAATAAACATGTTACTTTACAAGGAATGTACCTTGGTAAGTTCAATCGGGGCGCTATACGTGTTTGTACCTGGTTATTTCACAAGAAATGTCAGACTATTCAGTGTGGTAAGCATTGGTAAATACAAACGTTAAAAATTAAGCTACCTATGTTACCGAACACGTCATAATGTAAACATGACTAAACCCAATTTACTCATCGGCCGAACACGTTGAATGCCTGTCCGACATATCCATGCATGTAGTGCAGCCAGAGGAGATCTTGCATGCAGGCACACACCATTAAAGGTCAGGACGTGGAGAACGTGTCTACTTTTAAGCCAGTGTGTGATGGCATGTAAAACCAAAATTTACACAAGGCCTAGGATTACTTCTGTGATTTGCAATGTGTGGTGAGGGATGGGTGGGGGGCTGGGGGGTATGGGGGTATGAGTTACTCAGGTTATGTACCTGAATTTTGGCTATTTCAGAGGACTAATTTTACATTGAATTCTCTGCAACCGATTAACAAAGATGTTCTGGCGAAAGCGAAAAACACTGTCCAGTGTTTCATTGTCCATAACTTATAACATCTCTCACATGCTCACTTGCTTTGTTTACTCAAGAGGCGCAAGAAATCGTGAAAGACCTTGTGTGATATTAACTTCACATTAAATGCGAATTCATAATTGTCAGAAAAAGAAAACGGCTTCTAAATTGTACCCACCTAATCTTTTACTTCTATCGGAAATTTTTAATTCGTCCACATTAAATTAAACCTTCTGAAACTTTTACAACCACTCGTGGAAAAGTTTGCTTTTAAAGTCTAAAATTTTTGATAACATCAGTATAAACGAGTTTCATCTTCCATGTAACCATATATTCTAGCCACATAAAGAAACTGTGCATTGTCAAAATATTATCCCAGTTGATAAGTACGATAACAATGTCAAAGGTACATATAAACTTTAATGGAGGGATCATGAGACCATAACAAGTCGGGAGAATTTCAAGTGGAAAGTCCACAAGCGGGACAGGGGTCAAACGACCACGTCACAAGCTCAATAACGGGTATGTCCACCATCGGCATTGAGAACAGCAGTGCATCGACAAAGCATAGAGCCTATCAAACGCGTGTGGGATGTCACGCCAGATTCTCTCAAGTTCTGTTGCAAGGTCAAGGACGTTATCTGGCGGATGAGGAAGACGGCGTAGACGTCGATCCATCTCGTCCCAAATATGCTCTATCGGGGTGAGATCCGGTGAATTTGCAGGCCAAGGCAGTAAGTAAACGTTGTGGTGTTGCATGAAATCCATAGCAACCCTTGCCGTATGAGGGCGGGCATTGTCCTGTTGGAATGCTAACCCAGGGCCATGACATTGCAGAGTGAGTGAGTTTAGTTTTACGCCGCACTCAGCAATATCCCAGCTATATGGCGGTGGTCTGTAAATAATCGAGTCTGGACCAGACAATCCAGTGATCAACAGCATGAGCATCGATCTGCGCAATTGGGAACCGATGACATGTGTCAACCAAGTCAGCGAAACTGACCACCCGATCCCGTTAGTCGCCTTTTACGACAAGCATAGGCGTCTTTTATGGCAAGTACATGGGTTGCTGAAGACCTATTCTACCCCGGATCTTCATGGGTCTGACGTTGCAGAAAAGGAATTGCCACAGGTCGAAGAATCTGACCCCTGTAGCCCACACCAGTTAAGTTGCCCTGAACAATCACCAAAGGAGTTCTTTGGCGTGCTGTTATTCCACCCCAAATCATCACGGAACCACCACCAAAGCGATTCCTCTCCAAGACACAGGCCTGTGCATAACGTTCTCCCATGCGTCTATAGGCACGTTGACGTCCATAACTATGGGAAATGTTAAACCTGGACTCATCTGTAAAAACAAAATTTCTCCACCAAAAGAGGGTCTGCGGACATGATTTCGGCACCACATTCGGCGAGCTTGTCCATGACGTTGTGTCAGGATAGGCCGTATGGCGGGACGTCGTGGTCTGATCCCGTGATGACGTAAACGTTGTCGAACTGTGTTTGGGTGGATACAGCGAAGTCCTGGGATGGTTCTGGCAGTCATCACTGCAGTCTGAAACCTGTGGCGAAGATGGGTCACCCTTATCCATCTGTCCTGTCTTGGCGTTGTTACACGTGGACGTCCAGAACGTGGCCGATCGATGACGTCATTTGTGTTCTGGTAGCGTCTCACCAGTGCAGAAATGGTGTTCCGGTGGCAGTGGAAATGTGCAGCCACTTGTCGTTGAGACATTCCCTCACTGACCATCCCAATGGCCTCATGACGTTGTGCAGACGTGAGCCTTGGCATGCTATGCGTTTCAATAGCCGTTTAATTTTTTGAAGGATCGCAAGGGCAGGGGTTGAGCTTTCCAAAGTGACAGTATTGTGTGGCATTCATTTGCTCTGTTTCTCTTTCCCGGAATGCACGTGCAACAACGTATTGCACGTCTCAAGGACGAACCCACTGACGTCACGGAACGTGGCACGTGCATGCATGTTGGATACATGTCACTAATCTCTGATTTTAAATCCTTATGTGTCTACACAGGTTTGATAAATTTAGATTTTAATTTTTTGTATGCACAGTTTCTTTATGTGCCTAGTATATATGCATAAAATATAGTGAGCGCTTTAAGTGAGTCAAAACCTTGGATGGGTAGTAGCTTAAGTTTTTTCTTTAACGAAGCCTGATCACTTTTATCCGTGTTAGTAGTTCCAAATTCAATACTCTGGAATGAATATTAATGAACCTTATATAAGGGTAAATTCATCAGACTCCGACTGGAGCAGAGAGAAGTATTCTTCTGGTTTTGATGTACTGAGCGCAATCTAACCACAAAGTACACGAGACATCCCACATGACAAAATATCAAAGTCTGTTATAGTAGTGAATAATGCATTACTTTCCACGAAAAAAGAGGAAATTTCGTTATTATTCAAAGCCGCCACATTTTCCATCTCACCTCGGGTTATCCAGACGAAAACAATCTATAGGAGAGTTTGATTATGCAAATATATGACTGTCGCAGATATGAAATGGGCGCCCGACATGTGGTGAAATCCATACTAATCTATAGCTGGCATTATTTAGTAAACTACTGAATCACAGATCAATCAATGGAGGCTGGCAGATTTTAGCAAAATAAATTCGCGAAAAAGATGTTTCTTCTTTCTCATTGATGCGTTCTGTGTAGGAGACAGGTACTGTGATTTGATTTACTTTAATAATAAATACATCATTGGCAATGCAGCCCAGATGGAGAGGAACACCACTTGACCATTGTCAATAAACAATGCCAGTTTCAAAAATGAAATACTCTGGAACTAACAATTTGTGTTATTTTATGGAGATAAAACAATGTAAAACCACTTTCTAGGCTACATCGAGGTGACATTTGGCATGGAGATGTAACCATGCCCCGAGCTTCCTAACTCAATTACCAATGAAAACGTGAACATTATACATAAAAAATAATATGAAAACTAAGAAGATAGTTTCTCAACAAGGAGTCAGCCACCACATTGTATGACCCCTTCAGATGTTGCACAATAACGTGGAACAACAGGTTCCAGCGGAGTACTCCCTCGCTAGAGTCTTTCATTCTGTGAATGAATGCTTGTCGTCTATGGTCCGTGAACACTATCACTACTCTTTAAATAAACATTGTAGTGTTAAGGTGCTAGGATCATCCCTAGAGCCTCCTTCTCTTTGGTAGAGTAGTTGCACTGGTGCCGGTTGAACTTCCGGGAGAAGTAACTTGGGGGTGGTCGAGACCTGTGTCATCATCCTGGAATAGAACTGAACCTCATCTGGTTGCATTGGCATCCACAGCAAGCTTGAAGGGTTGGTCGACCCTAAGTCCTGACAGCACAGGCTTGGAGAACCCATGGTCTTCAGGATGTCGACTGCTCTGCTGCACTCCTCTGTTCAGGTGAACCTGGCCTTCTTCTGTAGCAGTGCTGTGAGTGGAACTGCCACCGTGGCGAAGTTAGGGTTCAGCCTGTAGCATCCTGCCATCACGAGGAAACGACGGATCTGATTCTTGGAAGTAGGTTGTGGGAAGTCCAATATATATAACGTCCACCTTGGTTTGATTGGGCACAACCAATCCCTCTCACACAGTGTGACCAAGAGTGTGTCCACTCGCACTTATCCAGGTTAACTGTGAGTTTAGCCATCTGGAAACGACTGAGTACTTGTCTGATGGTTGTCAGGTGCTTCTCCCACCTGCTGGAGTAGATGACGACGTCGTCGAGGTAGACGTTGACTCTGGGAATCTCACAAGCATGAGATTCACCAGTCCCTGGAATGTAGCAGGGGCGTCTTCAGACCGAAAAGCATCACAATGTACTGCTACAGCCTGGATCGAGTAGCGGTGATAAGGATGATCTTGGTCCCCACGGTGAGTGGAATCGGGTAGTGCCCCTTAAGCAAATCTAGCTTGGTCATGTACGATGCATGCTGTGTGTGGGTACCAGCGTTGCCGTGCTGGAAAACATGGGTTCCAAAAATTTGGGACGAAATATATTCTGATGACTTGATAGACACTGACAGAATGCATCTCTCTTGACCAAATTGCTGGAATACTACGGGACCACAGTTCTGGTTGAGAGCAATAGGACTTCATGCCGTGATGCTTGGGTCATCCGAAGAGTCTCCTTCACACGTATTGGCGTTCTCCAAGTCTTTCCGTCTCAGTGGCGTTCTCCGCGATGCAGTGATCGTTTGAAGAGGTGAGGATTTTTGGTCTACAACTTCGTGGACGATTTTGGGATGCATTGAGGCACTTATAGCGATCCTGGATATGGATCCTGTAAAAGGCAGCGTTGTAGTCCGGGTTGTTGCTTGTGTGTTTTCGCACACGGTGTTTACCGGGGTCTAAGATCATCATTTTATGAGCTGAGCTGGCCCATAACAGTAAACAACAATAGTGGTAGGGCTGGATATTGCCCTGAATCTCATATTGCGATATATTGCAATAATTCAAGAGATATTGCAATACGTATTGTGATATATTGACGGGAAGGTTTCTGTCCAAGTGCGTACATCATAAATTCATAATAGCTCTCTGTGTGTGACATCGTCTTCTTAGTTGCTGTTACACCATACCTTCAGGCTCCCTGTCCCCATTGTGTATGGGTGTATGTCAGTGGTGTACAGATACATAATGATGAAGAGCCTTAGTGTGGAATGTTTCATTGAAGTAACTGTATTGCAACAAAGTTTTGCGAACATAATGATAAAGGTTATAGTATGACATGATTTTCATGGTCAGTGTTGTTTGATTCAACAGAATGTACTTCAATGCAGTACGTAATTATTGTTACTGTTTGTCAGTGATTCATTCAGATTCAACTCCAATATAACATGTGTTAACATGAACTGTTGTAAAATGAAACAAAACCATAATTTAGGTGAACTAGTTGAGCTTAAAATCTCATGTGACCTCCAATAGCTAAGATCCTTGACTAGTATGGCATTTGAAGTCCTACAAAATTGATAAGACTTTGGCCTTTATCATAAATTGATAACATATGTCCCATTACGAAACAAAACAAAAATACCGAAATATTGTGAATTGCGAAATGGTCACTCAGAGCCAGTAGCTCTACTTATAAGTCCGAATAAAAGATTGGTCAAATCTTTAAAGGGCAGTTAGAAGTGGAATGCATAAGAAAAGCAAGATTTATGGATGTCAACTTCTTTATTGTGAATATTCATGACCTGATGAAGGAGCAAGCATACACTCCGAAACGTTGTGTTATTCACAACAAGAAGTTGACATTTATATCTCTTGCTTTTCTTAAAAGATTGGTCCTTTTGAGGCCACATAATTCCTCCAAAACGTCACATATGAAAGCATTCAAACCCCAAAATTAAAGCATTTGGTAGAATATTTGGCACTTTTGGAGCCACTTATAAAGACACTTCCTCTTGTAAAATGTTACATGAAACAGAAAAGAAACAAGAGCATATTTAGCACTTTCAGAGCACAATTTATTGCTGTGGAAATCAAGGGCAGATAATTCAAAGGGACCTAGCTCTGGATGACTCACTATATTGCAGAATCTAAACCATATCGCGATAATCGTATCGCGAGATACTGTATCGGTTAACCGGTAATATTGCACAGCCCTAAATAGTGGACACATAAATAGAAACAAGACGATACGAACTGTCTAC